CTATGTATTCACTGAGATATGGGGAATTGCGATTTAGGAGTGCGCCCACAGTGGATTACATGAGAACCCATGGATCCTCGGAAAATAAGCGTTCTAGGTGCCTTAGGCGGCGCATTTTGGGAATATGCATGGAAGTTCCAATCGTGTAGTTTCGCGGCGTGTCGGATTCTTAGGTTCTTCGATTTGTAGGGATCTATGGGTCCTCATACAAACCCACTGTGGGCGCACCCATAAATCGCGATGGGAAATTTGACAAGGGTAAACACAGGTTTACATGCGGCGCCTTTTAGGGATGAGAAAGGATGTTCCCATCACGCAATTTCGCAGTGTCTCGGGTCCTCAGACTGCTCATTTTCTAGGGGTCCATTGGTTCTGATGTAACCCACTGTGGGCGCACTCATAAATCGCAGTAAGCCGTACCTCAGTGAATACATAGTTTTCTTATGCGGCGCATTTTAAGGATATGCATGAAACCTTCAATCGCGCAATTTCGCGGTGTCTCGAGGCCGTAGGTGGCTAATGGTGGCCCAAGGTGGGCGATGGTGGCGCAACATGGGCGAAGCTGAGCGAAGGTTAGAATGAGAATGTGGAAAAGATTTAGCGGCGTGGCGGTTAGGCGTGGGTGGAACGTTGGCGGGATGTTTAATGGATGAGTATGAGAGCAAGGTTTATCGAATGGTGGAGAGTCAATGGTATGGTGTTGCATAACTTGAATGCTGTTTGTGGTGGTTTTTCCCTCGACTGTAAGGAGGGTCATATGAAATAAAATTGTTTGTTTGTTTGTTTGTGGCAAAAACGTGGGCGACGGTGGTTTGCTGCGCGCTATGTGGCTGAAGTTGCGCGCGTGGCGGCCAGTGGTAGCCGAAGGTAGGAGATGTGGCCAATGGTGTGTGCAGGGTGGCACGGTGTGACCCCTCATGGGCACGAGTGTAGGCGAGGGTCAAGGGCCAAGAGTGAAAGATTAAAAATCGTTTTTCTCGAAATATTTGCTATTTGAAGAGTAGTCTTTTCCGATCGAACCTACGGTCGACGGAAGAGCATATTTATAGCGTCGAGACATGACTTGAGGCATCAACTAAGAATTTACTAACTCGGCAATTTGGCTAAGCGAATACTGTATTGGGAACATGAACGAAGACTCGCTGCATGGTCTCTTGAGAAAAAGTAGTTTGAGTGGTGTCTATCTGTGGCATGATCGAAGGCGAAAAAAGGCAGAAACGTC